CGGTCCCTCAGATAGTTCCTAGCTTGCGTTTCTAGATAGGCAGAAAGCAGACGGTACTTTCTGTCCGTCCCCTCGTAGAAGCAAGTAAGCTTCACTTTCCTGGCGAGCATATGATTGATCTCTCCACGCATAATAAGCCTGTCTGCTGCCTCTAACTCGGCCTTGTTTTCCAGCAGCCCGATGAAATCAGTCCAGAGCTTGTAAGTAAACGGCTCGGCAATAAGATCCCTGTATATATCCTCGTCCCCCTGCGCCTGTTCGAAGTATGTCAGCAACTGCGGCATTCCCCCAGTAAGATACGCCACAGTCAGACTCTTCTTCACATCCTCAGTTAATGGTGCTACACCTCTCCATGTCTCTATCTCCGCTGGCAGGTAAGGCCCGTCGACGAGGAACTTTGATTTCAGGAGCTTGAGTTTCTTCTTGTCGCTCCTTTCTGCAATCAGCCGTTCTCTGCTGTTTACAGAAGAAACCCGAACGAGAGCGTACAGCTGCATGAAGCCGAGAAGATGATCTTTGGCAGCAGCCCTGGCAGTTTTCTGTTGTTCCGTATCCTCCTCTCTTGGCTCGAAGGACTCGAAATCGTCTACCACAAAGATGAGCTCTGAAACGTGAGCATAACACCACTCCTCCAACTGGGCAGCCTGCCTTCTTCGAGAAATCTCCTCTGTTTCCTTCTGCAGGCCATAAAATGACACGAGCAAGCCCTTCCACAAGGCGAGCACAAACTTGCGGGTGAGCTCTTCCGGATCCAAGAAAACTACTCGCTTCCACCCCGACTGCTGGAGTTGGTTGCAAACTGCGCCAACCACTACCGTCTTTCCAGAACCTTTGGCACCCATAATGACAAGTTCACTGCCAGGACGCAACGCCTGGATACGCTCAAGAAGCCCCTTAGCGATTGAACGTGGGATAAAGAGGAACGGGTCCTCTTCAGAGAGCGGGGTGAGCGCAGGCCGGCAGAGCTGGGTTGCGTTGCCAGTGTTCCATAGGTACGAAGGATCATCGCGGAACCCCAAACACCAATCTCGAAGCAGCAGCCCGCGCTTCTGGCACAGATCGTAAGCTTGGTCGAACTCTGTGTCAGAAATACCGTGCTCCATACTTTAGGTTGCACCCGTATTTATTCGGTCCATTCTTAAACACAAAGAAAAGCCCAAAAGACACACTCTTCCGATCTCTGTCTCGTCCCCATGCCTCCTCGCCAAGAACTCTAAAGGCATACACAGGTCCATTTCTCACCAATCTTGGCAGTGTTTCAACCCACCTTCTTTCACATACTAGAATCATATAACATGCCATCAAATAGAATCTTGGCTTAGTGTGGGGAGACCATAAAGGCTTCCCATCTCTTGCATGACCCCAATTCTTAGAGTTGTTATGGCATGCATGTCTACTAGTGCAACCTTCGTTGCTTGGTAAAGGAAATAGGCGGAAAGGGTTTTAGAATGCTTATAAGGTTTAGATATGGTTGGAACAAAGATTAGCCATTCAATGGAGGCACTACACCTTCCAAGACTCCAATGCTCACAATAGTACAAGGCAGTAGTGATTCAAAGAGCAAAAACAGCCTTAAAGAATGTCGAAATAATAACAATCAGCCAAACAATGATGCTTATGACCAAAAGTCTTAATGCAATGACAACCACACCACAGTTTTTTAGTGCATCTATGATATGTTCACAAATACACTTGGGTTGAGTTTAGATTTAAAAGTGACAATTGCAAGTGATAAGTTGGGCAGGGTTTATGAGCATGAGCAAATAAACCATTACCCTATTTTAAGGGTACACATTGTCTCCTACTTTTTCTTTTTCTTTCTCACACAGTCATAGAAGATGTGTTATTGAGGAGGCATATTTGCTAAAACCACATGCTCATTCCAACCATATCTAGGCTTCATAAGAAGAATAGCATCAAATAGTAAGGACAATCAACTAAATAATGATGTTTGTGATCAAGAGTCCTGGTACAATGATAATAATACCACAAATATATAGTTTCCTAGTGCAGCCCTGATGCAACAATCACTTCTATAGTTGATAAGTGCAACAACAAATACAAATATATGAAATAATCACTTTTAGTTTAAATATATTTTTCTAGCTATTCTATAAGTTCAACACTCCAACTTATGAACAAGAATGAATACTTCCTCCTTTCAACCCACCTAAAATATATACACATTATTGAAGAGTAATTAGGATAGAGGTTTCTTAGCTATAACAGCTTCCTCAGATGCTAGTAAGAACTGCACTCACCTATCATAAATAATCCTTTGGACTATAAAATATGCTAGCAAACATAAATTATAGTTAGCAATATGCTGTATTGGCATTTTATGGGATTTTTTGGATCACATGCTTGATTTTGAGTTATGTGTCTTGGTCTAGTATTGATTATTCAAAATTTTAATTTTATAATGGCTTATCAAAAAATATGTCTTTGATATAATATTAATTATCTAGGCTTTCAATTTTGTAGTGGCTAATGAATATCTCTCTCTCTTGAAATTTGTGCCTATCTTGCAGCTGGTTTATACATGGATCAAGAGAGGGAAAATTTGTGCTTTATGGGTGTAAGTTTTTAGATTTAAACTTTTTATATCCTAAAATCTTTAACCAATTTAAGAAGGAAATAAATAAACCCTTATAATTAAACTTTAATGGAAAGTTATTTTTTTTGTTGCTTAAAATTTATTAAATTTATACAAAATTTGAAAATTAATTTCTTCTGAGAGTAAGGAAAGCCCCACTTTTTTGACAATTTACCCTTTGAGTTAAGTTAGTATAAGTGACTTAATTTTCTATTCTACTTTAATCACTTATTTACATTATTGACCACTTGAATGAGTTTTATTTATAACTTTTATAGGTCTTCATTCTAACTTAGACCTAAAAGTGGCATTAAGCCACACACTTAGTTCAAGTGCTTTATGTGTTTGAATCCCACTTCAAATGTACCAGTGACACACTAGCTTCTTATGCCTTAAGTTATATCCATTCTCATTATCTTATCAAAATTAAAACATCCAATCTTATAACTATTCTATAATACCCTTAGAATGCTTTAAGATCCTTTCTTTGACCTTATTAAGTCCCTCTTTGATCATCGTAATGTTTGCTAACACTACTTTTAGGATAAGAATTTATTTGCTAGAAACTAAACTTCCAACAATATCCATAACAAGTACACTTAGTTATTTATATTGTTGAGAATGTGACATATGAGGAATTTCGATCATGAGTATCATGGTTTTATTAGCTCAACCTATTCAACCAAATGAATAAGCAAGTATATCTACAATTCTAGAGCAATTCACATTAAATTATAAGATATACAATTTTAGAGGAGGTTGAGTTAGTAGGACCATGTTATTCATGGTTGATGTTCTTTATGGAATGTTACTTTAAAATGATTAAAGATTTAGTTCAGTAGACTACACAAATAACCATTTCAGCCAAAATATTGATAACAAAGGTTCAAAGTTACATCTATGATGATGAACCTATACTTCAACCTGTAGGAAAGGATAAACTACTCAATTTACAAGTGTAAAATTATAACTTTGTTTATCATTAACAATGAAGAGGAGACTTCATTTTACTTGTAGAGAGGAACTGATTAAGCAAGATATTCAAAGAGCACAGTTTAAATGTCAAACATTGGAACTTACCTTTTCCACTAGAGTTACAAGAAATGCCTTTTATGTTGGATGTGAATTAGTTTCAGATTAATACTGACATTGTTATAGAAGTTGAAGTTTATGAATTTCTAAGAGAGTTAAGCTTTGGCTATTTAGTACAAAAGATTTCAATGAACTCTCTACATTTTTTCATTTTATAGGCCACAAGTTGTAAAGCAATATAGATAGGCAGCAAACACCTTAGAGTCAAATAGTAAATAATTAAAAATTCTTATTTTTTCATTAAAAACTAGTGAAAATAAGAATTTCTAAATTATAACTTTATCTAACAATGAATTGATTTTGAGTTAAAACTTTTGATTTGCAACCAAGTCAAACTAATGTTGTTCTATGAGCTTGACATAACCTAGAAAACAAAGCCCCAGGAGTCAGATTGTAGCAATGATATGACAACTCAGATTATAGCAAATATTGTCTCCAGGAGTTAGAATCATGATTAGCATTAAGTGAGCATGTCATACTACATACTGGAATTGCCTTAGACAATGAAAGCTGTCAATATTGTGCACAGAAATGCATCAATGTGTGCAAGTCCCCTTTTGGCACTTGTAAGAGAAGGATATAATTTGCACACGCGAAATACAAACACCTCTATACCCAATTCACTACCAAGCTTCCTGTTTGTTGCTTTAAATGCCAGATGAAATATTCATTCATTCATCCATCAGCTATTTACAGGGTCTTGTGGCACCCGAGACCGACGGATTATAGTAAGCTGTTTTGCATATACTTTTGCTGCGATCATAAAGAAGAAGTATGATAATGAAAAACTAAGAAGAAATCACTCCTTTTCCAGGTCAAACAGTCCTTTGCTTAGAATGATCTTGTCACCACAACACAAAAATCACCAACAGTGGCTGATATTCAGAAATCACTGGACCACATAAGAGCTCCATGTACTCTAATGGACTGCTGAAGTAACGGGTCAGGATGTACGATAGGACAGACGTTGAGCGTCCACTTGGTTGAGAAGAACTCAAATCTTGTCATCGTTCCCTCTAAGGATTAGTTCATCACTAAAAGCAAAAACATCATATCCGAAGAAAGTGGTAGCTGTGTTGCGTGTCTGACAGAACTCCAGGCGTTGACGTCATTCAGTAGCTGCGAAACATGTCCATCATGTTCAACTTCCAATGGCTTCAGAGATGATAAAAATCGTGGACAGCGCCGGAAATTGTTCCAAGATCCTAAGCTTTAGTAATAAGAAAAGAAACGTAGTACAAACCGAACACGTGTCCTTTAAATATCCTCTTCCTTTTAGTTTTTAATTCAGTGTCGCGTTCTTCGTTTTAGAGCGAGCCAGCATTTTGTGTGTTTATAATTTGCAGAGTGACCGTTTTGGGGTCGGCGCGCGCCCGCTCAGCCCTGGGAGGGAAGCTCAGCGATCGATCGGTCGGCAGGAAATCGGTGAGTGGATCCATGCGATTCTGGGTTCTAGGGTCCGAAATCGACTCGTTTCTCTCCACATAATTTCATGCGCTTATCGGGAGATTTTTTTCCAGGTCGTGACACTTGCATGCTCGCGATTGCCCCAGTCGGACGCTTGCAATGCAAGACGAGGAGGTAAATTTTGCTGCTCTAGATTCTGGATTGATTGATGGGGGTTTCTCGGGCAGATTTTCGTCAAGGAGCAGCAGCCAAAACTGCTCCAGAATTTGGGGAAGAGAGCGTTTGTCCTGGCGCGATATGCCGCCACCAAAGCTGTCGAGCTTCCCAGGCCTCTGGGTCCGTCCATCGCCTTGGCCGAAAATTTCCTAGAGCCGATCTTCCATGCTGCGGGGACCCAAGGGCTCGATCTTCTCAAATTCCTGGATGATCGAGTAATTTCTTTTGTCTTTTTCGTATGGAAGTTCGATTCATTGTCTTCCACTTTTTTTTTTTTCTTTTCAGATCTATGTCGTTGGCGAGGCCATCGAGACATGCCTCCACAGCGCGATCGATGTGATCAACTACCCCAGGAAAATCGCGGGTGAGTTTCAGAAACGAGGGATCGTTGGCTCTGCCGCCGACATCTGGGTGGAATACAAGGATCCCGTGACGAACATTGTCCACAAGCTCCCGGGCTCGGGCTTGGTCTCACCTGTTTTCCATGGACTGGGCGAGGCCCTGGCACTTGACCGGATCTCCAAGTGGCTGGTGGAGCACAGCGAGGTGAGAAACCATGATCTCCAGGGAGGGAAGCTCAAAGAAGAATCAGAAGAAGAAGTAGAAGAAGAAGAAGAAAACCACGCGTTTGTGGAAGCAAAGGTTGTGGATCAAGAGTTTGTGGCGGACAAGATTGTCGAAGATCATGGCCACGACAAGGAGGAAGAAGACAAGGAGGAAGAAGACGATGAACTTACAAAGTTGCTAGATGCTGGCTGGGGACTAGGAGGTGTCTAGTAGGTAAAGTTATATTTTCTAGCTCACCTTTTGTGCATAGTACAAACTTTTAAGGAATATATTTAGAATATTGAGATATAGTTTAAAATATTCCTTTTAAGCTTTTTTATTTGAAATAAAATTTTATTTATTATTAATATAATATGTGTTCATGGAATAGGGAAATGGAATATAGAAATGTGCATATTAATTAATTAAGTAATTAATTATGTACTGTGAGTGCTTAGAATATAGAAAGGGAATACAGAAAATGTGTATATCAATTAACCCAAAAACCCTAGCTTATATATAGGAGCGAGTGGTCTAAATTGAAACCAATCCGACAACTACTAAAATCCCACTACGCTAGTATACGGCATCATAACTGTACACTTGGCCCTCACATCATCCCCTCCTCTGAGAATAATGGAAGACCATCAGGGTTCTTTTGTAGATGGGCCAGGATCTAAAGGAACATCAAGAGGAGGCATTAGTGGATCTATAGGTGGTATTAATTATTCCTGATCCCTTTGTATGAAGCGTTTTAATCGTTGCATATGCACAATCTCTAGAGGATCAGCCTGCTGGACGTCATGCCGAACCTCATAAACTTGTGGTCCAACTTGTCGCAACACCTGATACAGTCCTTTCCATTGTGCAAAGAGCCCCTTAGATAAACCACGTACCGTAAAATGGGGAAAACGGACTAACACCAAATCATCAATTTTGTACTCTGCAAGTGGACGGTGATGGGAGTTATACTGCCGTTGTTGTCCTACTTGTACGCGGCCTAAGTATTTGGTAGACTCCGCTCGGACAAGTGGAAGAATGCTCGTTAAATACTGATCCCATAACCTAGCATCTGTAGCTCGTGGCAATCACGAAGGTAAACCCAGCTCCGTTGGTAATATTGGATCATGACTATATAGGAGTTTATATGGTGAATCACCAACAAAACTCTGCATCCCTATGACATATGCAGAAATAACCATCCCAATCCAAATGCTGAAAGTTCACATACTTCGCAATCCCTTTGAATGTCCGAACGAGCCGTTCCACCAGACCATCTGATTGTGGATGATAAGCACTCGTGAAAGTGTAGCATATCCCCAACCGAGACATCAAAACATGAAATGCCTCAGCCATAAATGCGGGACCATTATCCGAAAGAATCCGCTCTGGATAAGAATGCTAGAACACCACTCGATTGAGGAGGAAGTATCCAACAGCAGTTGCAAAGGCGCTAGCAAGAGCACCAACTTCCACCTAACGAGTCAAGTAGTCAAAAGCAATAATAACATACTCATTGCCAGCAGTGGACCGTGGAAAAGGTCCCATAAGATCAAACGCCACCAACTCAAATGGACGGGAAACTGCAATTAACTCCAACCATCCTTCCACAGCCCGAGGGGGAGTATTACGAGCTTGGCACCAAACGCAGCTACGCATATACTGAATAATATCACGTCGCATCTTTGGCCAATAGAAAGACTTACGTAGCTTCTCGGTTACACGACAATGTCCCATATGCCCACCTAGAACAGGAGAATCATGGTAGGCATGGAGAAACCGCGGAATAAAGATAGAAGGCACCACCAGCCGTAAATGATCATTAGGATCCGTCCTCACAAAATAAAGAAGGCTGTCTTCAAGGCGATATTGAGAATGTAAATGCCGGAAAGGCAAGTCATCAGCAAGTGAGACAAGATTCTCAAACCCATCTCGAAGCCTTTGAATCCACGGCTCAATCTTTTGAGCCTCACGAACCTCATCAAGAGAAGGTAGATCTTGCTCAGTGCCTTGTGGACACTGAACGTCAAGACAGCAACAGCCGACGGCATAGAATCCTCGTCTAAAAAATCCACAGAGGCTGGAACAACAGGCTTATCAGAAACATGAGAAGAGAATGGAGAAGGAAGAGGAGCTCGAGAAAGGGCATTAGCTTCAGCTATAGAACTCTTTGGGCAATGAACATCAAAATCATATATCTGAAGCTTTAAAGCCCATTGAGCAGTATAACTAATCAGGTTCTTCCGCTTCAATAATGAAGTAACAGCAGCATGATCACCTTCAAGTAACGTCTGAGAACCATGTAGATATGCATGAAGTTTCTCAAAACCCCAAACTGCTACTAAACACTCCTTCTCTGTCATAGAGTAGTTCATTTCCGCTGGTTGTAATGTACGGCTTATATATGCAATGGGATGGCGCTGACCAGGCACACTCGAGCTCTCTTGCATCAACACACTTCCAAGACTAATGTCAGAAGCATCCACGCGCAAAATAAAAGGTCAAGTGTAGTCAGGATATGCCAAAACTAGAGGAGTCGTCAACAGCTCTTTGAGATCCCCGAATGCCCGCTCACAATCCAGAGACCAAATAAAAGATGATGTTGATGACTTCAGCAATACTCACAACGGTGTAAGAAGTGCTGCACATCATTCACACACTTTAGAGTAGGGAACTTTAGAACAGCCACAAGTTTGTCAGGATCAACTTCCAAACCCTCATGAGAAATACGGTACCCAAGATAAGTTGTATCCTTGGACCCAAACACACACTTCGACTGCTTCAACTTTAAACCAATGTCACGTAGCCGATCCAACACTTTACAAACATCATGAACGTGCTCCTCCCATGTCCCCTCCAAGTGGATCAAGACATCATCAATGAAGTCAGCAGTCACCTAGTAAATCATCTAGATTGAAACCAATCTAATGACTATCAAAATTCATTATGTTAATATTAGTATACAGCATCTTAACTATACACTTAGAGCTCATATCATCCCTTCCTCTTGGAAGGATAGAAGGCAGTTAGGATTCTCTAGTTGACAAGCTGGGATCTAGAGGAATATCAAGAAGAGGCACAGATAGATTTATAGATGGTGCTAGTTATTTTTAATCCCTTTGTATTAAGTGTTTAAGTTGCTACACATGCACAATTTTTAAAGGATCAATCTATTGAATGTTATGCTAAACCTCATAAACTTGTGATTTAACTTGTCGCAATACATGATACAGTCTCTTATATTGAACAAAAAGCCCTTTAAACAAACCATGTACCATCTCCAACTTGTCGCAACACTCAATATACTCCCTTTTACTGAACAATGATCCCCTTAGATAAACTATATATTGTAAGATTGGGAAAATAGACTAGCATTAAATCATCCACTTTATATTTTGTAGGTGTCGTGAATGTGACTTCGGGTATCGAAAATTACTTGTCGGCTAGTCCTTTAAAATATTCTTTCCTTATTGCCACGATGGCAAGAGGTCGGTATTGCTAGTCCCTTTTTTAGTCTCTACCTAAACTAGTTGAGAAATTGGTCTTCACGTGTGCACTTGACCAAATGAGCATAAGGACGGAATTCCTAAGTGCTATTAGTCAAGTATACTTGACCTCGTTAGAAAAACTCATTCATTGACTTGCACTTGCTAGTGTTAGGAACCCCCACAATATTGAGATTGGTCCCTCAATATTCGCTAGATGATAGCTTACTGTGTCTGCTAAACACTCTCGCTATCATACCCTTTATGTTGGTCTCATTACGGTCATAAATGCTATTTATAGAAAGTGTCAAGATTTGCTCATTTAGCATATCTACGGAATGTAGAGATTGTCCTAAACACAATGGTGTTCGTTCCGTGTCTAAATTTGCAATATAAGGATATTCCATATTTAGTAAATTTCGAGTTTGTCCCAGAAACTAACTCTTGATACTAAGGGAGGCTTGGGGTGAGCCCAAAGCGTGTGTTCTTCAAAGGGGGGGGGAGGGGCATGTAGAGGGTTCCAAATGTATAGTAGAGATAGCGGGTAGGTCGGGCATGGCTGACCAACCTAAGGTAGAGTCTAACTCTTGCTTGTGTGCCTGTCCTTGTTCTGCGCAAGCTCCACACCATGCTAGCTGGTGGAGTACCCATGTCCTCACGTTAAGCCATCGATATGCTGAAATAGCGCTAAACTTTATTTGGCTCTGTTTTGCGTGCTAGTCCTGGTATTGGGATACTAGATACTCTAGGACTATTCCAAGTAGCTCCGTGCTCTTGTTCCTTCACTCCTTGGGCTATATGCTCGAGAGTTGTTCCATGCTCCAATGTCATTGCTCTTTGGCTCTATGCTTGGGAGTTTGGCACTGTTCTTTCATTCAATGGCCCAAGGCCTTGAAACTTGGGTTCCACACCACTATCCTTTGGACATGTGGCATATGGAGGGTTTAGGTTTCGCTTCGTGGTTATCCTATAGTAAATCACCCTAGGATAAAGGGTAAAAACCACGTGCATTACAACGGGTGGACAATGATGGGAGTTGTAGCATTGTTATTGTTCCACTTGTATGTGGCCCAAGTGTTCAAGAAGCTCTACTTAGATAAGTGGAATAATGCTTATCAAATATTGATCCCAAGATCTAGCATTAGCAATTTACGACAATTATGAAGGTAAACTCAACTTTATTGGCAGTATCAGATTATAACCATATAAAATTTTATATGGTAAAGCACCAATAGAATTCTGTACCCCTATCACATATACATACAGAAGAAATAACAAATAACCATCCTAATCCAAATGGTTATCTCAAACAAACAAAAAATTGCAATTGACTTGAACTATCCTTCCACAATATAAGGGAGAGTATTACAAGCTTTACACCAAATACAACTACATATATACTAGATAATATCATGTCGTATCTTTGGCTAATAAAAAGACTTATGCAACTTCTCAATCACACAATGATGTTTTATATACCCATATAAAATAAGAGAATCATAGTAGATATAGAGAAAGCATAAAATAAAGATTGAGAGCACCACCCAACCATAAATGATCATTAGGATTCATCTTTACAAAATAAAAGAAATCATCTTCAATGTGATATTGAGAATGTAAATGCCAAAATGGTAAATCATCAGCAAGTAATGCAGAATTTTCAAACCCATCACAAAGCCTTTAAATCCATGGCTCAACCTTTTGAGCTTCACAAACCTCATCAGAGAAGGCAAAGTTTGCTCTGTACCTTGTAAATACTGAATAACAATTGTTGATGGTATAGAATCCTCCTCAAAAAAATCCATAGATATTAGAACAATAAACTC